CACAGCTCACAGCAACCTTCAACTCCTGGGCTTAGGCAATTCTCTTGCCTCAGCCTCCAGAGTAGCTGGGACTACAGGCGCCCGCCACAATGCCCGGCTATTTTTTAGTTGCAGTTTGGCCAGGGCTGGGTTTGAACTGCCACCCTCGGTATATGGGGCCAGCCAAAAGGTGACTTTTTAAATGACACAAAACATAGTTATCTTCCACAAAGTGGGAGCTTAGGGGTCAAACATAACTGGTGGACACTTTGTTTTGCCAGAGTTTCTTTTTAAAGAACCTGAGTTAGTTTGGTATCTAAAAAAAAATCAGGATATCTGATATCTCTTGGAGATCACTAGATCTGGCAAACGCTGGGCCCCTATTTCCTACAAGGTGGTAACTGGCAAGAGCTCAGGCCTTCCAGTTTATCACAGTTCCCCCAACAGCCAGCACTCCTCCCTCATTCATACCACCTGCTGGAGTTTTCTAGTCCTCTAATTAGGTACAATTTAAGGATGCCAGAAGCTCTTGTTCTCATAAAAGTATCTCAATTTGGGGGCAGTGCCTGTGGCCCAGTGAGTAGGGCGCTGGCCCCATATACCGAGGGTGGCGGGTTCAGACCCGGCCCAGCCAAACCACAACAAAAAAATATAGCTGGGCATTGTGGCAGGCTCCTATACTCCCAGCTACTGGGGAAGCTGAGGCAAGAGAATCACCTAAGCCCAAGAGCTGGAGGTTGCTGTGAGCAGGGTGACACGGCACTCTACCGAGGGCAAGAAAGTGAGACTCTGTCTCAAAAAAAAAAAAAAAAAGTATCTCAATTTGAACCTTTAAAAGAGCCAAGTAGGTTCACATCAACTTAACACAATTTTGGTAAACAGCTGGCTTTTGGTTTTACTGGGCTACCATCTCCTTTGTCAGGTACCAAAAGCCCAAAGATACACACACAGGGACAATTATACTCTGATTACACCAAACCAAAGGGGAGAAAAGGGAAGACATCTGCCAGATCTCACAACTGCCTACTGATCAGACTGGTAAACTGTGCACACCAGGGAGCAACAGAGTTCCCTAAGAACAGGGACCTCGTCCCTCTTCCATCAGGCACTAAGCTCAGTATCTGATCATTTTTCTTTGGGAAAGAATTCTCAAGTTGAGGCTCAGCACCTGTAGCTCGATGGTTAGGGCACCGGCCACATACAGTTTGAACCCAGCCTGGGCCTGCTAAACAACAATGACAATTGCAAAAAAAAAAAAAAAAAGTCTGGAGTTGTGGCGGGTGCCTGTAGACCCATCCACTTGGAGGGCTGAGTCAGAAGAATTGCTTAAGCCCACGAGTTAGAGGTTGCTGTGAGCTGTGATGCCAGGGCACTCTACTGAGGGCGACATAGTGAGACTCTGTGTCTAAGGAAATAAAAAAGAATTCTCAAGTTGACAACTTTTCCTTCCTCTGGAAAATGGCAACTGTAATCCAAGAAATGCAGAAATATCAGTCCCTGATAGTGAAAGTAGTCTCTAGGGTGCTGGAGTGTGTGCCTGCTCTAATCTCCCTGCTGAATTGTCTTGGGCTCTTGGCCCTCTGAAACCTTTTGCACCTCTCTCTCTTCCACCTCATTTTCCTTCATCACCCAAACCTCACTTCTACCTCAGGTCAGGTATATTTATCAAAATACCATTAACTTTCAATCCTCCTTAAGCTTCCAGAATAGAAAAAGTTTAGGAACTAAAAAGTTCACCCATGAACCCAAGCTTAAGTTCACCGTGAACCCACCGCTCAAACCCAACAATTTGTTACTTTCAAAGCAAAACTTCCTCTTCAGGAGATCTGCCATCTCCTCGGACTCCATCCCCTAGGTGGGGGATCCTCCCCAAAGGAAGTCGCCTGTCCCCAGTGCCTCCTTTGCAGAAGGTGGCTCACCACCACCTCAGTGGGTCTTCCTTGTGTGGGGCTGCACGAAAAATGCACGGTGTTTGGCACACACTCAGCTGACAACCAATGGCAGCCACCGTCTGCCTCAGCATCCTACTCGTGAGGTGGGCCGGGCGGCGCTGGGCCGACAGGCACTGGGGAGGGTCGGGGGTCCGGCGGGCGCGGTTCACCCACCTGCAGGCGGACGTTGAGCATCATGGAAGCCACGATGTAGAGGTAGGGGAAGTTGATGCGCAGCCGCCAGGCCAGATCGAAGAATATGAGCAGCGTGCGAGTCAGCCCCTTGCAGAAGACCCCATAAGAGCGGGCGGCGGCCGAGCGCGAGAGCCGGACAGCCAGGCCCGACAGAGCCGCCGCCATATAGAGACCGGCTCTCCCACTGCC